TGAATTTAATTAGAGTATATTTTTCCTCTCTAAATGGGAGGGGTTGGGAGGGGGGGTTGTAATATCACTACTTTTTGTATTAGTGCCACATTATTTCAATTGCTTACGGTATTTATTTCTACTGAAATAATATATTTTTTATTCTCCTTGGTTGTAGTTTTAGGAATGTAATTTTGTTGAATGTTGGTCTTCTCATTTTACAGATACATAAAATTTATCAGCAGTTTATATTTCTTATTTCATAGTGCCCTTGATAAAGGTATCATCTGAAATGCACTAAAGTTTATCCAGGAATACAGTTATGATAGCAAAGACTGAAGTAACCCAGGGTCCTGCTTAAATAGCTGATCCAGTGCTATTGTTGATCCCAAAGTCCTGCTTAATTAAACTGGAAATGGACAGGGCAACCTTTCATCTAGAGAATCACTTCTCAGAGTTTTAGAACAGGGCCCCCAATAGGGTCCATAGACCAGTACTGGTCCCTGGCATGCCAGCAACTGGTCCGCACAAACAAGCAAAGCCCCATCCACAGGATGCAGGCAGCACATAAAACCACGCCCCCTCTGGTCCGCGGAAAAACCTTTCTCCACGGACCAGTCCCTGTTGCCCAAAAGGTTGGGGACCTCTATTTTAGAATACAGAACCCTTGAGAGGAGATATATCTATGAACTTTTCTTCAAATTTTCTTCAGAATTTGATCATGGGGTTATGAAATAATATTTTTTTCTCAATACACAAAAATTGAGCTTAGAAATAAGCCAGAAAAATTATTCATCATTATTAGCTTCCTTATACAGTAGTGGCCAAAATTGTGGAAACCTTTCGGGAAAAGTGTATTTTTGAGGTTTGATGCTAATAACACCACTTTTTTTGGGAGTAGTACCATAAAATTTTATATCAATGGAAAGATAATTTAATCAAGAATGTAATGCTACAAAATTTGTTCAATTAACTGTACTGTATTCAATGAAATTTATAGCCAAATAACCAGAAAATGGAAGCATAACTTGCTTAGGTTGATATCAGGTAGCTTTCCTTCATCTGATTGTAGCCAATGAGCATGAGTGTTTAGAGAGTCAATCAGATGTCATCTTGTTTTGGCAATGAGCCAATCAGATCACAGTAGGATTCAATTATTGATGTCATGTATTGAAGTGGAGAGGAGGACATTTGTCAGTGTGTTATGTGATTACTATCAAGTTGGTTGGTTTTTTTTTTTTTCATTTTGTTGTTAGTCACGAAGTCGTGTCCAACCCATCGCAACCCCATGAACAACATTCCTAAAGGTCTTCCTGTCCTCTACCATCTTCTGGAGTCCATTTAAGCTCACGCCTACTGCTTCAGTGACTCCATCCAGCCACCTCATTTTCTGTCGTCCCTTTCTTCTATTGCCCTCAATCTTTCCCAGCATTATGCTCTTCTCCAGTGAGTTCTTCCTTCTCATTAGGTGGCCAAAGTACTTGAGTTTCAACTTCAGGATCTGGCCTTCTAAAGAGCAGTCAGGGTTGATCTCCTCTAGGACTGACTGGTTTGATTGCCTTGCAGTCCAGGGGACTCGCAGGAGTCTTCTCCAGCACCATAGTTCAAAGGCCTCAATTCTTTGGTGCTCAGCCTTTCTTATGGTCCAACTTTCACAGCCATACATTGCAACTGGGAAAACTATCACCTTGACTATACATACTTTTGTTGGCAGGGTGATGTCTCTGCTTTTTAGAATGCTGTCTAGATTTGCCATAGCTTTCCTCCCCAGGAGCAAGCATCTTTTAATTTCTTGGCTGCAGTCCCCATCTGAGGTGATCTTGGAACCCAGGAAAATAAAATCTGTCACTACCTCCATTTCTTCCCCATCTATTTGCCAGGAATTGAGAGGGCTGGATGCCATGATTTTGGTTTTCTTAATGTTGAGTTTCAAGCCAACTTTTGCACTCTCCTTCTTCACCCGCATCAAGAGGCTCTTTAGTTCCTCTTCACTTTCTGCCATTAGAGTGGTATCATCTGCATATCTTAGGTTGTTGATATTTCTCCCGGCAATCTTAATTCCAACTTTTGTTTCATCTAGCCCTGCCTTTCTCATGATGTGCCCTGCATATAAATTAAATAGGCAGGGCAACAGTATACAGCCTTGCTGGACTCCTTTCCCAATTTTTAACTAATCAGTGGTTCCGTGTCCAGTTCTCACTGTTGCTTCTTGACCCGCATATAGGTTTCTAAGAGTCAAATAAGATGGTCTAGTACTCCCACCTCTTTAAGAACTTGCCACAATTTGTTGTGATCCACACAATCAAAGGTTTTAGCATAGTCAATGAAGCAGAAGTAGATGTTTTTCTGGAACTCGGTAGCTTTCTCCATGATCCAGCGTATGTTGGCAATTTGATCTCTAGTTCTTCTGCCTCTTCGAAATCCTGCCTGCACTTCTGGTAGTTCTCGATCCACATACTGCTGGAGTCTAGCTTGTAGGATTTTAAGCATAATTTTACTAGCATGTGAAATGAGTGCAATGGTGCGATAGTTTGAACATTCTTTGGCATTGCCTTTCTTTGGAATTGGAATGTAAACTGACCTTTTCCAATCCTGTGGCCACTGTTGAGTTTTCCAAATTTGCTGGCAAATTGAGTGTAGCACTTTTACTGCATCGTCTTTTAAGATTTTGAATAGCTCAGCTGGAATACTGTCACCTCCACTAGCTTTGTTGTTGCTCAGCTTTCCTAAGGCCCATTTAACTTCACATTCTAGGATGTCTGGCTCGAGGTCAGTAACCACCCCATCGTGGTTATCAGGAATGCTAAGTTCGTTCCTGTATAGTACTTCTGTGTAATTTTGCCACCTCTTCTTAATCTCTTCTGCCTCTGTTAGGTCCTTGCCATTTTGGTCCTTTATCATGCCCATCTTTGCATGAAATGTTCCCTTCATATCTCCAATTTTCTTGAAGAGATTTCTGGTTCTCCCTATTCTATTGTTCTCTTCTATTTCTTTGCACTGGTCATTTAAGAAGGCATTCTTATCTCTTCTAGCTATTCTCTGGAATTCTGCATTCAGTTGGGTGTATCTTTCTCTTTCTCCCTTGCCTTTCGCTTCCCTTCTTTCCTCAGCTATTTGCAAAGCTTCCTTAGATAGTCATTTTGCTTTGTTGCATTTCTTTTTCTTTTGGATGGTTTTAGTTGCTACCTCTTGTACAATGTTGCGAACCTCCGTCCATAGTTCTTCAGGCACTCTGTCTATCAGATCTAATTCCTTAAATCTATTTGTCACCTTTACTGTATATTCATCAGGCATATGATTTAGTTCATACCTGAAGTGGTCTAGTGTTTTTCCCTACTTTCTTCAATTTAAGCCTAAATTTTGGCCACTACTGTAGGTGGAAAGAGATGATATTAATTTCATTAACTGGATATTAATGATATTTCCATGCTTTCCATGTTACTGCTTTTGGACATTCAAACAGTTGGGTTTTTTTTTTTTGCAGTGTAACATATTTGTTTCTGGTCAATTTCATGAGCTAGTTCAATGTACACCAGGATCTTAAATCAAATTCCCAGAATTCTTGCTTCACACCTCTCAGACACAAACAGAAGGATGAGACATCATATTAATAGAAGCCACCTCTTTTGGAGACTGGGGTTCTTTCCACTGTACCTTATAAAAATGCCTACAGATGCTTCTGGTTGCATTTAAATGAATTTGTTTTTTGGTGGAACCCTAGGATTCCATGGAATACAACTTGGAAAATCCTGGCAAGACAACATAAATTCCTTGTGATAGAGTATTGAACTGTCTGGACATAGCATGTTGCCTCCAGGTAAAAGTTGTAGTGTAATCTAGGGCAGTGATGGAGAATCTTTTAGAGACTGAGTGCCCCAAAACCACCTCCGCTCTGCCCCATCCCGCCCACTCTGCCTCCACCCCGCCACCTGCAGGGCCACTCACCGCCTCCACGACCGCAGATCGCCCAGGTAGCCCAGCAGTGCCATGGCGGCCATGCCCTCCGCCCTCACCCTGCAGCATCATCTGTGCGCAATGGAGTGCGAGGATGGAGTCCCAGCTGCCTGGCTCTATGTGCTTGGCTGGAGTGCTCCACGTGGGCCGCACTCGGGGGCGACTCTCCTCTGGGGGCGCTGCTGGTAAGTAGGGGGCTGCGGGGAACGCAGGGCTGGGGCAACAGCATGTGTGTCCACAGAGAGGGCTCCGAGTGCCGCCTCTGGCATGCGGGCCATAGGTTCGCCACCACTGATCTAGGGCCTTTTACAGAAAATGATAGACAAACATTTTACACTACATGAAAATAAAGTAGTAAGATATTATTCCATATGTCTTAGCCCTAGGTCAGTGTTTCTCACCCTCATAGCTCTAATGTATGCAGACTCAGCAAAAGGAGATTATGGGAAATGAAGTCCACACATCTTAAAGAATCTTAAAGCTACTGAAGGTGAAAAATACTGTTTTAGATACTACTGAAAGTCTCCACTATGAGCAATGTAGGTGGTCTATGTGGAATGTGTTCAAGAATTCAGCCTTACTAATTCTTGATGATATACTCCATTAAATAAATTATTATTAACCTGTTTTATTTATTTTTTTATGCTTTGTAATATTTGGCTGTTGAATGTTACAACTGTGGCTTAAAAACTGATTTTTTTTCTTCTTGAGAAGAAGAGGAGAGGGATAAGTAAGTAGAAAGATGGAGGAGAGAGGGAGGGGAGGAGAGGAGGAGGTAGAAGGAAGGGGGAAGTGAAGAGATGAGAGGGGGATGCGGTCTGGGGGGAAATGGGTGAGCAATGTCGGAATTTGTGTGTTGTATTTTAACTTCTTATGTATCTGAATTTTTTTTCTTATGATTGTTATGAAAATAAAATAATAAAAATTAAAAAAAACTGATTTTTTTAAAGCCAGCATGTCTTTTGTCAAAAGAATAGAGAAAGAAAGTAGCAAAAAAAGTAGAAAAAAATGAAAGAAGACAATGAAACTATTTATACCAAAAGTACATTTCAATTGAACTCCATTAATTGAACAAGGTAGAATTATTATCCTCCAAATAATGTAAAAAGGTACAAAGGCAGAAATATGTCATAGTAAGCTAAAAATAATAAGAGCAAGACAACAGTTGATTATAAGTTACATATTTACCATCTTAACAAAACAGAAAATAATTATGTTTACAATTAAAATGAAGTAGAAATTTCTAAAAACTATCCATATAATTTTATCAGATTGTTTAATGTACCCATTTTAGGTGGCAATATTGACACAAGGTCAGTTAAGCAGTTTTTAAAAAAAAATTTTTAGAACAAATAGATGTTTCATAGTTAGGCATAATGTTTGATTTAGCTTGAACTTTCTAAGCCTGTTGTGAGAAAAATTGATGTATTTTATCATTTTAAAAGAGCTCAAGTAAGAATTCATATGATCTTCTAAAAGTGGCTATCCATTGCTGAGTGGAGTAACATGTAGGATATTTTTCTTCTATAATTACAAACTTTATGAAAAGTAGGGACAGAATAATTCATTTTTGTAACTATTTAATTGTACTAAACTGCAACTGAACCTTCCAGTAAAATATAGATTGGATAGCATGCTATTTTTCATCCAATGATTACAAGGATCTGATGTCATCTCCCATTGCATATAGAGATAATTATTTATTATATACATGGATTAACAAACTGGGTAGGCAATCTTACAAAATGGTGGGCATTCTTACAAAATGATTGCAATTGGTTGCAATCGGTCACTTGCCCGTAAGTGGTTGGTATCTCTACTTGCAAGACACTCATTTACTGCAAGAAGAACTAGCTCCTTCCTACCCAAGATGCTTACTATCAACCCAGGAGAGGTATTTATTTATCAAATTTATGTGCTGCTCATCTCTCACTGTGAGGCAACACCAGATATACAACCAAAAGAGGTGTCTAAAGGTGTCTAAAGATAATATAAACAAGGCTATCCTACCAAAACCTGTCAAAACATTTTATCTTGTGATAAATTATCTGAAGTCAAATGAACATTGACCTGGTCAAGTTTGCTCATGACATCAAATTATTCAAAGCAATAAAACACAAAGTGTTCTCCAAGAGATCTAGATTTTGGGACCAATATTAAAACAGCAAATCTTGTTCTAAGTAAGCAAGAGAAATGGGATAAAAAATAACAACAAAAACCCTTGATCACATATTCACATACATGGTGATGAGATGTTCTGAGTCTCATGTCTGTTCTGGAAATGAACCTTGTAAGGAAAAATATTGTGAAAATGTTGTCCTGCTACGTTGCTGTTGCAAAATTTACAAACTGTTATGTAGGACATTAGTAGGAAAGAAATTGATAAAAATAAATCTACTAATTACGTTACATGTTTATACAAGATGACAGTGTGAACATATGTAAAACACTGAATAATTGATCACTATACTTTCAAAATGACTGGAAAACATATTAGGAAAATAAAACAATAAAGAGATTGAAGCAAATCTCCTGAGAGAGAGGATTAAAATGTGTAAATCTCTTAAAAGACAAGAGAATAAATAATTGTACATGTGATAAATGAATGGGGAGGCTTTCTTTTTTCATAGTACAATCAAAGTTCTTTTACTGAAGCTACATAATTCATGGAAAAAAGCACTTTGTCCTACAGAGCAGTTCACTTCTTCAAATTGTACTGATGACTGCCAATTTGATGGCATTAAAGGGTTAATGAAATTTATAAACAATAAGGCTATAATTGGCTGGTTAACAGGGCTATATATTATGCTTCCAGTATATTTCTTAATACCCTCTCCTGAGGAGCAGAGTGATTGCTGAGGAATGTATCATTGTCCTTATCCTTCTTATGGATTTTCTGTAACAAACGCATGGCATTATGTAAACAGACAATTGAACTCAAAAAGTGCTTGGTCTGAGCTACCACTACTTTCCTGATATTTTTAAACTTACAGTTTTATATAGATGGTTCACAGGAAAGCAGAATGTATCCTAAAAATTCCTACCAAAAGAATTCATTCCCTTTATAATAGGATATAATGAGGATTTCCAATATCCAAATATTATTTTCAGTAGTGATGTGCTATAATATAGACAGCTTACTATTTTCCATGGATTCTTGAAAATGTAGCACCACTGCAGACTGGTAGCCTTCAAGTACACCATGAGGGTGGCTTTGATGGCTAGAAAGGTTATGGACTCCACGGTTGCCCTTATGATGGCCAGAACCGCTGCTGTTCTTGGGGAAGACTGTTTGGCCCCTATAGAGTTGAGCCTGATGTTCACATAACCCAAATTTGCTAAGCAAGATGAAGATATCTCTTCGGAATGCTTTGGTAAAGATAGCATAAAGGAATGGGTTAGCACAAGAGTTGAGTGGATAGAACAAGACCAGCAGAATTTTTGAGTTGCTGACTGTTATCAAGGGTCTGTTTATAACAGCAGATAAGGCATAGAATGAGATCGGTGCCATACATAAAAAATCAGTAAAAATTAGCACAGCCATCCTTTTTGCAATGACTGTATCTTTGTCCCCTGACTTGTATTGGGGATTCCGTACTGTAATATAAATTTTAATATAGCAAGCACAAATGATGATGAAAGCAACAATGTTCAACAGTAAAATAATTATAATGTAAGCTTGATCTACAGGTGTTTCAGTGTCCATGGGAAGGCAGATGCTAACTTTTCCATAACTACTGACTCCAATCAGTGGTAAGAGGGCAAGAAGGAAACATATCAGCCAACCACCCAACATAATAAAAGATGCATGCCAAAGACGAATTTTTTTATCTAAGCGCATGGCAAACGTAATAGCATACCACCGTTCCAGGGTGATTGTAGTCAAAGTAAAGATTGATAACTCACTAGCAAAGACAGTAAAAAAGCCAGCTGTGCTACAACCAGGCCCAGTTTGCCAATCAATGGCATAGTTATAATACTCTGATCTAGTATAAAGATCCACTGAAGCTATCAAGAGAAGATACAATCCCATACAAAGATCAGCAAAAGCCAAGTTACACATCAAGAACCGTGGAACAGTCAACTTGTAGTGGCTAGTGAGTAAGATAAAGAGAACAAAAACATTGCCCACAATGGCTAGCAAGTTTACAAACCACACCACTATCCTTAAAAATCTGTACCCCATTACATCTTCACAGGGGTTGAACTCATCAGGCCCTGGGATGCAACTAATATCATCATTACCTGTACAGATAATATAGTCATAATGACTATCAAACGTCACAATATTATCTTGGGGGTTCTTGAGTTCTTGACCAAATCCATCTTTTCTATTGTTATGTTCTTCAAAGAAGACATAATAATGGGAATTTCCATGAATGTCTCTAAATTTGGAATTCTCATCGTGAACAGCATCAGTGTGATCTGAATAATCTTCTGCATAATCTTGATAGAAAGGAGCCCTGTAGGTACTGGAAGATCTTCTTTTGCGAATGCTGAGATTGTTAGTTTGATTACATAGCAGGAACTCCAAGATTCTAAAGTAGCAATAGAAAGCATGATTAATAAAATATGTAGTTTATCTAGAGCAAGCAAATTAATCACTGGGGACTATTTATTGTGAGCTAAGGCAATATTATTTGAGAAAAAATGCAGTGTTCTAGTGTTGGAATTAAGCTACAATTCTAAGTTCTTTCTAATTATGATAATAACATTTTGATTAGACAACTGTCCCTTTAAGAAAGCTATTACCTATTTAATTATACTTTAGTGTTATTACACTGCATTTGCTTTTATTTCTGTTTATTATAATAAATTGCTATGCTTCCTTTCCTTTATAAAATTCTTTTATACAGTTTACTGTAAGCATCATGCTTCAGAATAAATGCAATCTAATCTTATTAAATTGCAGCAGCCACTGAGTATAAAATCTGCTTTAAAGAAGTTCAAATGGTATTTAATTTAATCCATGGTGAAGAGGTGGACTTCATTGGGCGCTTAAATAAACATGAGGTTGACTTTCTATGGAGAGAATTTGAAAGTCTGAGTGCCATTACAAATGTTTGCTCTTTCATTTGCATCATTTCTGATGTGGTGAAAGGTTGAAGAGGTTTCCGAAAGTACATTTCTATTGTTGAGCAGGTTTATGAGCCAGAATAAAATTCCTCAGATAATTGGATTCTAACCCATTTAGAATTTAATATCATTTTTAAAACTTACCCTTTAGCTTTCTTCCAATTCTTGAAAGCACAACAGTGACTTGGGTATGACAGAGCAGCATAAGTTAGATAAGGAAAAGTTTTTACTGGGGGGAATTTCTTTAGAGTCCAGGTATTTTGAGCCATCAGTTCTTTCAGGTTTTCTAATCCTCTTGCTGGAAATGTAGTAATACATGTCCGGGAGACATCACTGAAGATATACACAGAAGGAAAATTAATAATGTCAGTTTCTCATAAAACGTTTCATAAATCTTTATTTAATTTACATGCCATACAACTGTCAAATGCTTTAGAACAGGGGTGTCAAATTGGTGGCCCATGGGCTGGATGTGTCATCCGGAAGCCATGCCCACCCCATTGCTGGCAATGGCAAAACCGTCCCGATACATTGCGCGATGTCACATGACATTGCGAGTTTGACATGTCTGCTTTAGAACAATTAACAAACACAGAAATTAAGAGCCACACGTAGAACCAAAGCCTACGTGGTCTTGAGGAGTCCTTGGTGCTCTCTGAGCTTGCTTGTTTTCTTGCTGGCATTTCATTACTCAAACTAGGTAACGTCATCAGTGCTAGTAAGGAGTGCTATTGGCTGTCAGTTTATATTCTGGCGTCTTGCCTGTCTGGGTGGGTGGGGGTGGGCTGTTCACTAATGGCTCTGTGGCAGTTTCTTGATTGGGGTATTGCTTACTTGATTGTTGGTCTGAAGTTGATCTTGGAGTTAATCTAGGCTGATCTGAGTGCTGATTACTGGTGGAGAGATGCTGGAGTCTTTTTCTTTTCCGGCTGGTTGAATGTCTCTTTTGCATAGTCTACAGATGTTGTTAATGTCTATGTGTCTATTGATAGCTTCCCTGGCATTTTTGGACTTTTCCCAGTTGAAACTATGGTTAAAGCTATCTATATGTTGTGAAATTAAAGAATTTTCATCATGTCTTCTGACTGCTAGTTGGTCTTCATGGATGCATTCAGACCAACAATCAAGTAAGCAATACCCCAATCAAGAAACTGCTAAAGAGCCAACAGTATAAGAATCTCTAAGACTACCCCCACCAACAATGACAGGCAAGCCACCAAAATGTAAACTGACAGCATACAGACTCTTATTAGCACTAATGATGTTATCTAGTTGGGTGATGAAACTTCTGCAATAAAACAAGTAAGTTCAAAGAGTACCAAGGACCCCTCATGTCAACCCTGAGCTACAAATATTCTCCCTTATTGGTCCTACATGGTTTTGTTTATAGCTGAACCAGTTTCTTCCTAAGTACTATATTCTGTACAAAGAATAATGCACTCCTAGCCACCTATACTAGAGTGTTTAGAGCAGTGGTGGGGAACCTATGGCACGGGTGCCAGAGGCAGCACTCAGAGCCCTCTCTGTGGGCACATGCACCATCTCCCCATCCCCGCCTCCTCCCACAGCCCCTTGCTCACCAGCAGCTCCCCCAGAGGAGAGTCACCCCTGGGTGGGGCCCACGCGAAGCAGCGCAGCCACGGACATGGTAGCCAGGCAGTGGAAACAAGACTCTGCCCTTGTGCCCCATCACATGCAGATGATGCTGTGGGGCATGGGTGGAGGGCGTGGCCACCATGGCACTGCTGGGCTGCCTGGGTGATCTGTAGCAGGCCGTGGAGGTGGTGGGTGGCCCAGTGGGCAGGGCGGGGAGGGATGGGGGTGGGGGCAATTTTTGGGCACTCGGTCTCTAAAAGGTTCGCCATCACTGGTCTAGAGTTTAGGATTTTTTTAAAGTATATGTGCAGCCTAAGCAAGTATGACTTTAGAATTTGTCCTAAAGATCTTTTCTTTCCAACCATCACCAAAATGGTTAGCATTTTCTCCATCATCCACCATTTTGGCATGACCTTCCTTTGTTTTGTTGCTTGACACCCTCTTTCTCCAACTTTTAGACAGAAATTCACTGGATTTTTATGCCAAGAGGCATGGTTGTTTTTAACCAGAAAAATATTTTTAAACTTTTGCTTGACTTAGTATATCTGAGTTGACTTAAAATTTGAAAATTTTAAACTTCAAAATCATATTATCATACAGCTAAGAAAAAAACAGAAAGACTCTTTTTTCTTCTTTAAAGAAAATCAAAATTAATACAAGCCACGCAAAACAATTGTAAGAAGAATAATCCACTTCATCTGAAAGTAAATTAAAGTCACTCGAAAATTGCAAAATCTCTCTCTCTCTCTCTCTCATTCTCTCTTTTCACAATGAAAATGACTTGCATGTCTTCCCATTTGTTAGTTCACACCTGCCCTTATGCCTGCCCTTTTAACATCTTTGGTACTATTGAGAGTAAGAGTAATTGCTTAAGGCATTATGTAAGGCAGTAATATATTTTTAGCAATGAATATTTTGTACTATCTTTGTACTTTGTACTATATGCATATCTTTTTATCTCTGTTTCTATTATATAAACCATTTTTTTTAAAAAAACATACATTTTTTAAAATTCAATTGTCATTGTACTTTATCACTAAGAGCTTCAGGTTGCATCCTTGGTACTTTCTCCTCAAATTTACCACTTAACCATAACCTTCTTTGGTAGCTTGGGTTGTATGTTTCCATGGCAGAAAAAGAACTGAACCTGAATCATCCCACTCATGGTCCAGCAACTTGTATGTAACCCAGAATATTCCAATTTTATGTTTGCCCCAGTCAGTTTTGCAAGAAAAAAATAAATAAAGGAGCAGATTCTTCCATAGGGAAGATGTCAGAACTAGACAATTGTTTTCATGTATCCCTAGAGACAGGCTTGAAAAAACTTAAAGTGGAATGTGATTATCCTCCATCAGGTATTAAACAAGAATAATAATTTTGCACTTGTGTTAGAAACACAGAGTGTTTCTGAAAGGATTAACCAGTGACATCACTGCTGTCCTGGGGCCATCCAGTTGGGGGCTCATTTCATGTCTCCAGCAGGAGCTGGAATGAACAAGAGCTCATTCCCACCCACGGCAGGTCTCAGATCTCAAATGCAGGCTTGCTAATCTCCTACCCAGAGTTCCAACCACTTGAGCCACAGTGCTCTTAAGAATTATAACTGAGGAGGTGAAAGAAAACGGGAGTATGGAAAACAGTGAAGAATATGGTGACCAGATTATTATTTGCATCATGAATTCACTAAATTATATATTTAAAGTAAATGACATACAGGAATTGTATCACGGGACTCTTTGAGGCGATGGTATCTAAGCATTTTGACTTTTCCTCCTCACTGGCTGACTAAGAGGAGACTTAAGAATTCAATTTATACCTTGTGAGCTGCTATTATTTTAATCTGTATACAGGTCCCTGCTAAGTATATAATAGGTCCTTTGTTTAGACCCAAACCTACTAGGTTTTCAAGTGCTCTTCCAGGATTTGTCAGTCCATGCTTGGACCAGAATAGATGCCATGCCTTGATTGCTACCACATTTTATGAAAAAGTTGTGTCGCTAATGCTGGAGATTTTTTTATCCACAATATGTTTCAGAATTTCCATCTTTTTGACATATTTTCTGTTGTTCATTATGAACTTTTCCTTTTATTGTCTTTAACAATCTGCTGTTCTGTCTTTATTTTTTCCTGTTATTTTATCTTTGCAAACAGCTGTATAATCAATTACAAGCAACATACACATTTACAAACAAATAGCTGTTTAATTCTGTCTATAACTTTCTTAAATTAGACATTGCTTAACTAATTACACTGACATTCTTTAACATTCAGAAGAATCTAAAGTTCTCAAGTCATTCCTTAGGTGCTTCTGTGTACAAACCAATACAATAACAACCCTGCTAAGAGGAATAGTTAGATGAGCAAAGCAGAAGCTTAATATTTATTGGATTTTTTCTGTTCCCAAGTAAGTTACTCCTTTCATATTCCATGATTTCATGGTGGTGGAATGTGAAGAAGTTCACCTTCCAGAATATTAGTCTACAGTATAAATATTATTATTCTCATCTAATGTTTGCACTTAAAAAAATGTTGATTGGATGAACAGTGCTGAAGCCACTCTGACCATCCCAATTAAAAACAAAAGAAAATTAAAGCTATAAGGATTTCCTTAGACAAAATAGATAGACGTAAAGTTTGCATGGCTCAATACAGCCTGAAAATTGGCATGGTCATAAAAGCTGCATTTTGTGGCCCACAAGGATGTTGGGAAAGCTGCATGAGTCCCTTTGGCAGGATACAACTTTTGATCCTTGCTCTAGGGTAATCTAATGGAAATTTCTTTTGGAAAGATATAACTGTCCAAGAATTCAGTTTGTCTTCAAATCAAGCTCTGAGACTGATCCAGCCTTTACTTGATCCTCGTTGCTTTTGTAAGATGCTTTGGCACCTCTGTTCTAGTGGTGCCTACTTATGGTGCCTTCTCTAAACCGGTTGGAATTACAGTAACCTCACACCCAGAAAGAAAAGGGGCGTTGTCTTACCTGAACGCCTTTTCTCAGCAAGATGATGGAGAATCCACTAGTGGGTTGTCTTAATCTTCCTGCTCCAATAAGACTAAGTCTGGAAAGTTTCCATGCCTTTGCTGTGCAAGAGCACCCCAGTTTGCGATGAAGGCGAAGCGCAGACATTGTCCGACGCATGTGCTCATCCTATATTGTACATAGGCCCAAACGGATACTACAATGGGAGGGTATGGATTCTCCATCATCATGCTTCAGGTAAGACAACACCCCTTCTCCAGCATGATTGGATGGAGAATCCACTAGTGGGACATACCAAAGTCCTATTGTCCCTAAGGGGGGGAAAAGCATTTTGGGCCTGAGTTCCACTGGTAGATACCACTTGCTGTAATACCTTCCGTTCAAATGAAGCATCCGAGGAGGCAAATTTGTCAATCCTATAATGCTTGACAAACAAGGAAGGCGAGGACCACATAGCTGCCTTGCAGATCTCCCCGATAGGTGCCTGGGTATCCCAAGCCGCCGATGTAGCCACAATGCGGGTGGAACGGGCAGTGATGCGACCGGGAACAGACAATGATTGGGACCGATAAGCTTGAGCAATGCAAGCCCGGATCCACCTGTCTACAGTTGAGGAGGAAACCTTCTGACCCATGGACGAGGGCTGAAAGGAAACAAATAGTGCCTTGGATTTACGGAAGGTGGAAGTCCTTTTGATATAATGCCGCAGGGCCCTGCGAACGTCCAGAGTATGTCATTGCTTTTCTTGATCATGAGTCGGGTTAGGACAGAAGTTAGGAAGCACTATCTCCTGGGATCTATGGTACAAGAAATTAACCTTGGGAACAAAGGAAGGATCCAGGTGCAGGGTCACCCTGTCTGCATGGAAAACACACAGATCCTCTCTGACGGAGAGGGTGGCCAGCTCTGAAATTTGCCTGGCCGACGTGACTGCTGTAAGGAAGGCCACCTTCATAGACAACAGTTTCAGGGAGCACATGGTAATGGGCTCAAAGGGTGGCGAGGTGAGGGCCTGTAAGACCTGGAGTAGGTCCCAAGAGGGATAACGGTGTACCGCTGGAGGCTTGGCGTTGCCCCTTTTAGGAAGGAACGCACCATAGGGGGTGGAATTATCACACCGGATCACCGAGGAGAGGGCAGAAACCTGTCTGCAGATGATATTTGGGGATAACCCCTTGTTCAACCCATCCATCAGGAATTCCAGAACAATCGGAATAGTGATGTCCAAGAGCTCTACTTTGTGTCCTGAACACCAGGTATAGAAACTCCTCCATGTGGCATCATAAATCCTATTCATGGAGGGGTGCCTGGATTGCTGGATCATGGCTATCACCCTCGACAAATATGAGTTTCGAGTCAAGGCCCGCCGCTCAAATGCCAAGCGGTTAGTTGGAGCCACTGGGGATCCAGATGCTGAAGGGCTCCCTGGCTTAGGGCGATACGACCTGAGGGAATCCTCCACAGGTGAGAGATGGAAAGCTCTACCAGATCGGCAAACCATGGGTGTGTTTTGATACAGATGACCTTTGTTATTTGGGATTTTACTAGCTATGGTTTTACATTTCCATGATTGCTAACATAAGACCAGATCTTAGTTTTTGACACCCAGTTTTACAATATACACACATGCAAACTTATATGCATGTATGTATATAGGGGCAGGATAGCTCAGCGGTTAAAGATGCTGAGCTTGTCATCCCAGGTTCAAGATCCCAGTGCCACACAATGAGGTGCGCTCCCGTTACATGCCCCAGCTCTTTTCACTTAGCAATTTGAAAGCATGCAAATGCAAGTAGATAAATAAGCACCACTTTGCTGGGAAGGTAACAGCGTTCCATGTGCCTCGGCATATAGTTATGCTGGGCACATGACAACAGAAATGTCTTCAAATAAAGCTGGTTCCCTTGGCTAACAAACAGAGATGAGCACCGCCCCCCTAGAGTTGGACATGACTGGACAGGGGAAATCTTTTACCTTTTATCCCCCCCCCCTCTCTCTCTCTGTATTTTACATATGCAGAAAATGGCAGAGAAGCTTTTAAGTAAATTACATTTCTCCAAGGACTTGTTATTTGTAGTTTCTAGACTGTCAGGTAAGCTCATAGATAATAAAGGACCTATATCTGATTACATTGAGATTCAAAATAGTATGTCAAGAATAGAGTCTAGTCTAGCTTTTATCTTGTTCAACATACTAACTGCATCTTTAACAAATCCTAGAAAAACATGTTTGTATCTCTATCCTGTTCTCCTGGATCTACAACTTTTTCACATCTTTTTCATATGTCTATCCAACGTTTATTATTTTTCTATAGGAGTCTATCAATTTTGCCTCAAGTTTCCTCCTTTTAACTGCTTCCTTTGATTATTTAGCTGTCAGTTCCTGACATTTTCCTAGCATCATTTTCCTTGCCATAGCTGATAAATGTTGTTTTCCATTCTCTTTTTATTTTGTAATTGAGCTATTTAGAAGTAATGAACCAATCCACATGCTAGAAACCAACATGTTAATCACATAATTTTTTCCTTTCCGTAAATGAATAATTGCTCCTGCATTGATTATGCAATCAAATATATTTACTGAATTAAATCTATTCTCCCTCTGAATTTGTATGCTAACTCCAAAATAAATTAGTACCACTGTGTGAATGTTCAATAAATTATTTCCATGTTGATGAAAAAATGTGAGTCACCATGAAATATGCCTACTGATGTTAGAGAGTTATTGACTATTTTTCTGTATTTCTCCAATTGCTGATAGCTATCCTCAGGAAGAAAATAAAGCCTCTTTAGAGAAGCAAGTTTAGTACTGGAATAAATATTTCATTTGTGGTCGTAATATCACAAACGAATTTGGAACAGTGCATGTCATACAATATGATCAAGGTATTAAGCTCATTTTATTTTTGCTGAATTTGTCCAGATCTTGAGCTCTTTATTTAGAGCTGAGGCAGCAGCGTTGGCTAACACAGTAAAGTACCGTAGCTCTTTTGGGCCTCAGAAAGCTCACTAAGTTCTATTGCAAAGGGGAACAAATACATGATCTTTCTTCTAATTCATAAAAGAATTGTTGATTTCACTTTCTTCTGCTTCATTGCTTGCTTATATTTCAGGATAAATAAAGTATTATGACTAGGGAAGAAGAAGAGTAGCTAATGGCATTGTAAAGATATTTTCACAGATCTGTTCTGAAAGGGCTGAAGGGATTTTATTGTGCTTATGATTTTAGTATGTTTAAGTTTGACATTAGCATTTATTTTATATATAGCAACCATGTTATATTGATACTTATAGTGTTTTCATGTAATCATTGTTTTGTTATTTTGTAATCATTATTTTGTAGTAAATTGCTTGATCAGATGCTTTATATATATATATATTGGAAAAGTAAGGGCTTCATGCTTTAGGTACAGGTGATTGCTTATATGAAAAGAGCACAGTATGGGAGGGGGAAAAGGAGTTACAGATGGAGTCTGGATTGCTGGGTATGAGTCATCATCTAAGAATTATTTTTTTGGGTCATCTTATGCCTGGTACTGAAACCTGATCTTTTTGTTCTGGGAAGGTATAAAAGGTGGAAGACATCTTTTCTGGTTGTTGCCTTCATCTCTCTACCAGACACGAAGAGGAATAAGGCAGCCCTTCTCTGTTTTGATCAAAATAAAGTTGTAATCTTTGTGGAAACCTCGGATCAGGAGTTTCTTTGGCTCTTTTAAATTCCTGAGTAACACTGGGGCAATTGTGAGGCTAAGTGGAAAACCTTACAGGGCTGTAATAGGGGACAGTGAGGAAAGCAAAAAAACACACCTCTCCAAAAAGTGTGAGAGCAAAACACTAATTGTTTTCAAGAAAAAAACATGGGCATGTTCTAACAAGGAAGCTATCACTGGGTAGGTTCCATGAAGCGCTCATTGCAATTCATAACTATGAAATATACATAACGTGATAGATTGTAGGTAGATAAACAAACCTGAGCAGCTGAAAAACCAACAATGATAGGACTAACCAGGCCTTCTAAGATAAGAAATCTATGGCCTGTTGGCCTTGTATCATATCCTAGTCACCTTACAAAAAGAACCTGACCCCAGATGAATGCATGAGTAGAAAGCTCATCCTTTCACATTATTAAAATAATCACCTAACAATCATTACCCAATATTTATATTATTTATAAATAACACTAAAATAACTTAATATATTCTTCCCCCCATTACTCACAGTAGGCTTGGACCACTTTGAACACCCAAAAATGCATCTTCATGAATAACTCTTAGATACTTGTTCTTATGCAGGTATCTGCAGAGAAACAGTAACACAATTTTTTAGTGCTTAAATCAGAAACTTTAGTCAAAATGAAGTCTTAAATGCAACAATCATTTAAAAATTGGTAAAAGTTAAAGATAAAATAAAGAATATTCAAAACAACTATCAGCTTAAAGTTAAATAAGGATAAATTAGGTTAAAATTTAAAAGCCTAGGAAGTTAACAAGGCAGCGGGAGTGCCACAGGCCACCAGCCATTCCTTGGGGTGTATCATATTTTTAGACCCCATGCAACTTGGCAAAGTCAGGTCTTAACACTCCTCCAGAAAACCAGAAGATAGGAAAAAGCTTATCTATCCTAACCTCCATTTCCACCACTGTATTGTCATGGATTGAACATAAAGATTATTTTACAATGCAGTCTTTAAGACTGCAACTCTCTTTTGGATTTAAACCCCAACAATCTTTTTCCAGTAATGTAAACTGAAAGAAGACTAAGAAAATATGCCGAGTGAACCAGAAACCTGGTCAATTTTATGAAGTAAAATGAAGCTGTAGAAGCTATATACTGTACATTGTCTTAATGTCTGTTCCTCTATGAGTAGATAGAGTAAGATTCTAAACAGGAATGGCATAAGAAAAGCAAGAAATGACCCGATTGCTGACTAAAAGAGTCAGAAAAATGGAATCTATCCTGTGAATTCACAATTTCTAGACGTCATTACAAAAAATAAAATATCAAAGTCACAAATTGTAACTTGTAGGCCGAAATAATAGTTTGCTTTTACTTCACAAAAATAATTAGTCTTTTTCAAAACAAATACTTTTGTTTTTATGTTTAATAGAAGACAAGAAATATTGTGCTAAATGTAGTTTATTTTTTTTTTGAGCAGAAGGATATTGTGTAATCTTATATAGGGTCTCAGTCAGAAAGTAGGCTTACTAAATTTGGGATGCAAAAATCTGGATGAAACTACCTAATAATATGTGAATCATCTCTTTTCCAAACAGATGTCAAAGTTGGAAGGGACCTTGGAGGTCATCTAGTCCAACCCCCTGCTCAGGCAGGAAACCCTATATCATTTCGGACAAATGGCTGTCCAGTCTCTTCTTAAAAACCTCCAGTGTTGGAGCATACACCGCTTCTGGAGGCAGGTTGTTCCACTGGTTAATTGTTCTAACTGTAAGAAAGTTTCTCCTTAGTTCTAGGTTGCTTCTCTCCTTGCTTAATTTCCATCCGTTGCTTCTTGTCCTGCCTTCAGGAGCTTTGGAAAATAGCTTGACACCCTCTTCTTTGTGGCAGCCCCTGAGTTATTAAATAGGAGTTCTTTATAAGTTGTTAAAAGCCCCTTAATTATTCTGGAATTCATACTTAGTCAATATATAGCCATACATAATCAAAGGAGTAGATATATTCCAAATTAGATATATTTGGATATAGCCCAATATTTACAAATTAAATGCTTAAATGACATATGGATGTAATATTCCATGTATGAGCTTTTAAAACCAAACCCCATTCTCACTCTAAAAACATTATTGCATCTGAAATTCATCACAAACTAGGCAAAATGAGTGATAACCAAAACCCACTAAAAATGATAAGAATGGGTTTGTTAATAATTTAGACTATCTAAAGCAGTGGTTCTCAACCTTTTTAATACCGTGACCCCCAACCGGCCGTAAGTCGAGGACTACTCAACCGGTCGTAAGTCGAGGACTACTCAACTGGTGCAGCACCGTTTGCAGAATGGGACTTTTGGCGGGCTCAGCAGGGCAGAGACAGCCTGGACAATTCCTATTGGCTTTTGAAAGCCAATAGAATTAGACTCTATTCAAAAGAGTCTATTCTATTGGCTTTCAAAAGCCAATAGAATAAAAGGGAGTAGCACAGCTAAGGAAAGGGGGAAAAATGGCGGACTGCGTTGTTTGGCGACCCCCGTGAAATGGTCATTCGACCCCAAATGGGGTCCCGACCCACAGGTTGAGAACCACTGATCTAAAGTCAATGGCATTTACAGCAACTCTCACTATAAGTGCTAGGGTATTGCTAGGTGCATGTACAGTTTTCTGTAAATAACCTTTCTATAAATAACACAATATATACAATTTCCTGCTCTGAAAAAGACCTCCATTTACATGAAGTGGACATCCCTTTGATGACTGGGGGTATACCTTGATTTAATACTGTAACTGAGCCTAGAATTACAATCATAAGACATCCCAATTGCTAAGTGAATCATCACATGAATGATCTCATTTTATAATATTTTTTTGGAGCGGTTGTTAAGCGAATACCATGGGTTATAAAGTAACTGATTTTTAATAATGCACAATTTTTTTTGCATAAAATCAGAAGTAAACATTAGTTCCCAACCAAAAAAAAAACCATTGAAAATCACGGTCACATGACTGCCATAAATGTAAGCCAGTTGCAGAGTGTCCAAAATGCAACCATGTGACCATTGGGGAGACTTTTGGGGTCCATTGTAACTTCAGAAGTTGCTATATACTACCGGCATATTTGATCCCATTTCAGTGATTGAGGATGCAGAGATGAACAGCACCATATTATGCACAAGGTTTTTGGACCAGAACCTTTGAGGCTTTCCCGTGTGTGTGTGTGTGTGTGTGTGTGTGTGTGTGAAAGGAGTTTTCACAGCAAGAGGGAATTTAAACTACATTTTCAAATTTCCTGGCTCAAAACAGTGACAAAATATGCTGTAACTATTAATCATTTCTGGTTGGATGGGGTCTTGAAGGACAATAAAATAAAATAAAATGATTTCTCCAACTGCCCATTCCTGCTTTATGTTCTGTGCCTCTATCTAAAGATTGAATTATTAACATTTTAGAGTAAGGATTTCTTTCTTAATTTTGTAGAATGGCATCAAAGATCCATTTACATAAAGAAGTAATGTGGCCTGATAGCAAATAGTGATTTCTTGTTTATTTGTCTGGCATCGTTTTCTAAGAGCTAAGGCCAATCAGTCTGAGTGTTTTAGTTAAAAACTTACATAATACTATCCTGCTGGCAATATGCTCAGGTTTTAAGGCATAAGAGTGACCAAGCCCTAAATGTTCTGTTGGCAAAGATTATATTTTGTTTCTACAGGTGTCAAAAGAAAAATGTACCTGTTTTTGGGAAACACAAATAACTCTATGTTAGAACTATCGGGTTGTGTTTTTTTTTCCCAATCAGAGATTGAAAAAATCTCTGGGGGTCTGCATTCTGCATTAGTTGCTTTACAGACAGCATGGTCAGATATTCAAATGGAGTACAACATGGCAATTTTGTTTTAAATACTATGGAATACAGTCCCCAAATGCTTAATTCTAAGAGCACATACAAATACACGAATAAAAATCACATTAGTAGAAAATGATCACATTATATTGTGTACAGCTATGCTTTTACGCTTCTATCAATGAAAAAGTGTAATGTAATTCTGAAATTATTAAAATGACAATTGTCATAGACTGTATATTGTAATAATAGATTGCATGTTCCTTTCTCAGCATAAAAAATACTTTAGGGTTAAGTTGTAATTGTTGCTGTTTGAAAGCCAGAAGTAAGAAGTTCCTAAAAAGTTGAACAGCAGCACAACTGATACATGGTACTGATTAGCTTTCCACCAGAATAGTTTTGAAACACAACAGTGTTTGTCATCATTTGTACCCGTTTTATGAACTGTCTTATGTTTCTGTTTTTATGTTACATAGACTGTACAGTGATTACACAACAAATATCTTCATTGCAATTCAGATAATTTACAATAAAGTATTTGAAATAAATAAAAATTTTCAATGTTCCAAAAGTAGTTCAGAACCATTGTAGAAACTTCCATAGAAAAAAATAGGGGAAGTAGCACAAATTTCAGAGTCTCATGAGATCTTTAAAGATAACATAGATATCACCGTAAATACTTTTGTGGATCATAACACATTTCATTAAATGCCTGCAATATAGTTCAGTGAAGATCTGGGACAGTAGATACATTTCCAGTTGATACAGAAAATTTACACAGCTTGCAATTTTGTAAATTGTTATTGAGTATATTCTCTGTCATTGAAAATGGAACTGATAGCAAAGGGTTAACACCATTTTGGTCAGTCAGAAGGTCAGGCTAAGATTTGGGTCCAATGGGGGACCCCCGCCATCCTCAATCTTAGGTCTGCCTTCTAATGAAGAAAGTCTTTTTCCTCTCAGCTCCATCTGGGCCAAGAAATACATTCATTGCCTTTGAACTAACTAAATAAAATAAACTTAATGGGACTGAAAAGGAGATTGGAGTGAATAGCAGATTATAAGAACATGCAGCAAAGAGAGAGCTGTCTTTTCCAGAAAATTTTCCCCACCCATTTGTTTCAGTGAATAGTCAGAGATCTATAAGTTCCTTTGTGCAGAATCATAGAGGTCCCTAGAAGGTCACTGCAATCAGACTGCATGGTGGACAGGAAGCAGTGAAAAAGATGTTGCACAAATGTGCTTCATTGTGGAGCTGCATGTATATTCCTTTTTGGGGAATATTCCAATATTTGTTCTGGGAGGAGGTAGTAAAAGAGACGTATAATCTAACCTTGGACAGTCTTCAGGTTGCCGGTCTTTGGCAACCAGAATGGCAGCATGACATGGATGATGCTTAGACACTGGAAAGCTGATTACAAGTCAAGAATTAATCTAGCATCCAAACTTTTGGGGAGGCAAAAGTTGTTCGGGAATTCTACTGATACAATACTAGTAGACAGTAAAAATAAAGTGCTTACTATCAACAGTAGAGAGCACCTAGTATCACATATTATATAATTGGATTTCTTTAGGGTTAAAGAACAACTTTCATGTATCAAGGCAGTCAAGGAAGTCAAAGTTAGGGGTTTCTGGAAAGGGAAGTAGCAAGTCCAAGTCCTAGGATAAAACAACCCCTTACTGACATCACAATTTCTCAAGTTGCCAGATTATGTAAAAGATTTTGGAATACTTGGGAATGGACTTGCAAGAACAAATGGGTGCTGGAAATAGATATGGTCTGCGATATTTTTTTGTGACCATTTAGTACAATAAATGGTTGATTTAAAAAAAAAATCCAATAAAAACTAACCAATTTTTAAACTTTTCTAACAAGTGCTAATATGTTAACAATTTATGCTGAAGGTGATTATGTCCAGCATATATATTTTTGAGAATGTTATTTTTATCTTTTGTAAAGAATAACAGAAGAATATACTGTACATCCTTTTCATAGATCTGAAAGATGTTATTAATTTTCATCAAAGCTGCATTATGTGGTATTCCTGTTACTAGGCTAAATTAAATGAATCATCTGCTTCTAAAAAAGAGTGAAGTTGTAGTACCAATTGGACATACATAACTCTTTCAATTGTACATGGAGAATTTGATCAGTAGTAGAGGCTGAAATGTTTTACCAAACATTTACAGGAACAGTATACGAAATATTTTCTTGCCTTGAAGCATTGCTAGAAACAAAGTTTTACCCAGAAGCATTAGTGGTCACAAAATTTACATCAACAACATCTTGGAAATGGAATTCATATGCTTTTTAAATATCTCTGTTTCTTTGATTACTTTCCAATAAAATGAAGAAATTATACTTCACCCACTTAAATTCACAAAAGAGAAAAGAAATGTCAGCAGTCTGCTGCCATGAAGTCCTTGCTTAACAAACACAATTGGGACCAAAAGCTCTGTCGCTAAGAGTTAAGGTTGTCAAGAAAAACATCATATGATGGTGACTCATAATTTTACTGCCAGCTTCTCTATTGACTCTGCTTGTAGAAAGCTGGCTGTGAAATGTGCAAATGATGGTCACAGGTTCGAAGGATGCTCCAATAGTTGTAAATGCCTTCTGGCTGCAAAATGCCTGAGTTTTGATCACCTGTCTGTGGAAATGCTGTAACAGTTGTAAGTGTCAGGACCAATCATAAAGTTACTTTTTCAGTGTCATCATAACTTTGAATGGTCACTAAACAGGGCATCGTTAAGTGCTACCTACTACTACTACTAAGTGACTATTCTGGCTCAGAGAATGAGAATGCAATAGCTCCCCAGTTATGAAACTTTAAGGATATCCTTGCCATGCTTAACATACAGAATTAACACAGACTTATCTTTCAGCATTTTTAAGGTTTACAGTTGGAAACTATTTGTGAGTACTTATTTTTGAGCTGTTAAAATGCAATACAAGTGCTATGTTACAGTAGATTGCCTTATTTACTTACACAGAATCTAACTTAGTTCCATTAAATGCATGGGCTTCCACCACTGTGAAACCATTATTGTATAATTTTCTGTTAATGAAAAAAATGCATTATTAGTGTTTTTATACAAGTTATGTCCAAAATTATTTTAAATTCAAAATGATAAAATCCAATCAATACTCAGCACTAAATAATAATAACAATAACAACAACAATAACAACAACAATAATAGTTGGAAGGGACCTTGGAGGTCATCTAGTCCAACCCCCTGCTCAGGCAGGAAACCCTATACCATTTCAGACAAATGGCTGTCCAGTCTCTTCTTAAAAACTTCCAGTGTTGGAGCATTCACCACTTCTAGAGGCAGGTTGTTCCACTAATTAATTGTTCTAACTGTCAGGAAATTTAGTTCTAGGTTGCTTCTCTCTTTGGTTAGTTTCCATCCATTGCTTCTTGTCTTGCCTTCAGGTGCTTTGGAGAATAGCTTGACTCTCCCTTCTTTGTGGCAGCCCCTGAGATATTGGAACACTGCTATCATGTCTCCCTTAGTCCTTTTCTTCATTAAACTAGACATACCCAATTCCAGCAACTTGTCCTTATATGTTTTAGCCTCCAGTCTATGATTATATATTCTATGATTATATACACATGAATGTCTGATGTATCCCTCTGTTCTGTAATCCAAAATAAAATAAAATATAAAATAACTATGTTGTAAGATCTACCATGAGATGGTCAAGAGCCCAACATCATGTCCACTGCTATTCAAAGAATCTCCTTAAGTTTTCAAAATGACAAGGATGCCATTAAGTTTAAATCATAGCCATGATATCATCCTTTGCTATTAATAACCATACCTTGCTAGTGTTTGCTGCTGCTACTTCTATTACCAATTCTACAAAGGAATCTATACAGATTTCAAAAATGTACAATAAATACTTGATTTAGCAGAGGGTGGGGAGGGCCACTCAATTTAAAGCCAAAAGTCTATCAAAATATAAATAGAATTCTTTAAGGCTAAAACTACACTGGAACATGACAAAATTTACTTTCCTGATAGTAATAATAATAATTACACTAAAGTTCCAGAAATTTAGAATGATGTATTGATTGATGTGTTTGATTAAAATGGACAGACCCAAGTTTTAATTTATCCTAAACCACAGAAAGTCATTGAGCAATCTGGGGCTGCTCTTAGCCCAATATATCTTAGAGGGTTGCTATGGGTGGGGGCACATTGGAAGATGGAGCACTACATGCCTTGCTACAAACTCCTGTACAAAAAGTGGAATAAAAATCTGCTGTTGTGATAGCTAGCAGTGATCCACAATATACTATTGTACTGTAAGTTAGGGAAGGGGCTTGTTTAGGTGATGATGATTTTGGATGACACAGAGGTATGTAAGATTGCTGGATCCAGTTGCTTAGATCCAACAGATTTTATCCATTGAATCAGATGTCTCCTAAACATGAAGGGACACTATACTGCAAATGGAAATTATTAATACAGTGAAAGTACTTAAGGAATACATATATATAAACAAGCTCTATTTGTACAAAATGCTACTATGTACCTGAACATAAAACAAGTATAAATATACCTACACTACCCATCAATCCCTCTGCCAAGGAGCAGCAAAAGCATTATTTATTTTTTTTACAAAACTCCCCACAGAAGCACTATAGGAAATTAAATAGCACTCCCTAAAATGGCAGTCTAGATAAATAGGAAAGCATACTGCTTAAAAGGTTTAAAATTATAGGTATACGAAAACCTGAATGCTTATATTAACTCATCAAATTTTTATTTTTAACCTGTTATATAATTCTATCTAAAGTATATTTTTATGTTTAAATGTTTTAAAGCCATTATCTTAGCAGTTGTTCCAAACATTTGGAGATGAAGGAGAAAACGGTTATAGTGTTCAGGAACTTGTAATCAAGGGCCATTCTAGTTTTTGATGGAGAAAACAGGAATCTTGGCAGAGAAGGCTGAAGGAAGGGTGAATGAAACCCTCTTTCAAGTTATCAGTGATAAAATCTCTTAGGCTTGTTGTAACAGAGATTCTGTAAAGTTGGCCCAGCACCAGAATCCACCATGGTCTACAGATGTATTCCAGGGCCAGGCTGGGCTTGCATGACTTAATGCCAATGCATAGTACTGCATCTCTGGACTCCACTTAATTTCTGGTTCAGATCTTACCAATTCAGAAAGAAAATAACACAAAAGAAAATAAAACAAAAAAAGGTTTTATGGAAGAATAACATACAGCATAAGGGAGTCATTACATAATCCCTGGAATGCATTTGAAGGCAATGAATTCAGATATGGGTTATCAGCAATTTCACTGTGAAAAAAAAGACAAAAAGAGGTTTAGTATTGTAATAAAATTATAATAATGTATTAGTGTAACTCATGTGTATGCGTGCATGTATAGCATTTATTTTCTTATAGTTCTACCATTTGCCATTATATAATCACTTTTGTTGTTGTCTTTGGGACTCAGAAATGTTATTTTGGATGAACAAAGCATTACTTTGTTTCCCAGCAGAAGATTAGAATGGGCACAATAGCTTTGTTTTCAATAGCAGCATCACATTTCATAGTGTATAATTTGACCTCCTTCTTCAGAGGATTTCCAGATCATAAAAGTTACAGCTGTATTGTTACTTTATGAGAGATTGTAATAGATTAGGGCATTACATCTATTTCTTATATCTTTTATGTTATATGCACTTTAAAAGATAACTTGTCTATCTTGAGAATTCGTGAAAAAATAATTTTTATGACTGTTTTTATTAATTAATACAATTACTATTTCAATACCCCTTCTCCCATTTCACACTTTGTGTCCACCTTTAAATGGATTACCATTAATTTTTGTTTGGTCCTATTACTTGTGTGATACATACTTACAGCAAAAAGTTTATATTTATTGAATTAATTTTGGTGAGATCAGGAAAAACGCCAAGCCCAGTATTCAAGATCACACTAAAATAAATAAATAAATAAATAAATAAATAAATAACATGTGGCAGGGTGACTCAGTAATGTGCTTAAAACAGAAAACAATTCATTTATTGCACTATATAGCCTCAGCACTCTGTATTAATGGCTCCCACAAAAGTCTGGGGATTTATATATGTACACCTTTGTAGATCATCTGTTAGACTGATAATTAGATAAACAAGCAGCATGTATAATATTTTAGAATTATCAATTAAATTTAGAAAAATAAATCTGCTTGAGTTCCATTCCTAGGCAAGGTCAGGCAGATGCTTGCAGATCTCCCTATATTTACAGACTAATATATTCTAATTTCTTTGTGTAAAGATGATTGTCAAGATGAAACTACATCTTTACAATCACAATTTGTTCTGATTAGGCTTATAAAACAGATGATACAGATAATAAAACAAAAAATGTATTAATTTTCCTGAGAATTTTAGAAGAATCTAAATGTGTATTGCATAAAATAAGAAAGTGACCTTGGATCAAAATGAATTTTAACTCAAGCCTACTGTAGTAAATATAATAACTGTTGACTGCATGATAGTATTAAGTATTTGATGACTCATTTCATTTTAAAATTTGCTAATTGGTTAGCATAAAAGTAACTGAGTGAAGATTATGTTAATAAAATTCATTATTTGGATGGAAATTACATTACATAGATTTTATGCAATAGAATTTAATTCTCCAGTACACTGATGATACACAAAGTCACCCTGAATTAGATATTTTATAGATAACATGAGCCTCTGTTTAATTTAGAATTCAAGATTGAATTCTTCTGTTCCAAGTTAATTTTCTTAATCAGAATATTGCATCCTATTTTTATGCCCCGCACTACATAAATGGCATTATAAATATATTTTAATAGTAATAGGCTTTGTCGAAAGTGACTATCATTATTTTAAGATAATTCTTCATAATCCTATATTGCTTAATTCAATTATTTGTGGTCTGTTGTTCCATCTAGTGATTATTCTGATAATTTTGCTGGAACATACCAATCAATAGTATATTAGAATGCTGTAAAATGTTGGTGATTGTTAAATATGTAAGTAATTAAGTAATTCTTACTTTCTTACTGCATAATGTTTGTAATTTGATTTTTAAATTATGATTTATCATTTCATTTTTTAAAATGTATATCATTGATTTCTCAGGTCTCTCAGCTGTTTATAGGTAAAACATAAAACCATAACACACTCTCTCTCCACTCTTCTCTCTGGCTCTAAACTCTTAGTCTGGACTACTGCAACGCACTCTACATGGGGCTACCCTTGAAAAGTATTCGGAGACTACAGTTGGTCCAGAATGCAGCCGCGCGAGTGATAGTGGGTGCTCCTCAATACACCCACGTTACACCTATCCTCCGTGAGCTGCACTGGTTGCCTATTGGTCTCCGGATCCAATTCAAGATGTTGGTTATTACCTTTAAAGCCCTATATGGCTCAGGGCCAGGCTATTTGCGAGACCGCCTACTACCTCATAATTCCCTTCGTCCAGTTAGATCCCACAGGCTGGGCCTCCTTCAGGTCCCATCGGCCAAGCAGTGCCTTTTGGCGGGGCCGTGGAGGAGGGCTTTCTCTGTGATGGTGCCCACGTCTTGGAACCAGCTCTCCCCGGAGATTAGGACCGCTCCCACCCTGTTGGTTTTCCGTAAGCTGCTAAAGACCTGGCTTTTCCGGCAGGCCTGGGGTTTATAAAATCTGACCCCTGGATGACTGTTATTGTACTGTTTGTTTTGTCATGTTTTATGGTGTTTTTATTGTTAGCTGCCCAGAGTCCTGCGGGAGTGGGGCGGTTTATAAATTTTAAAAATAAAAATAAATAAATTAAAATAAATTATTAACATCTGTTTAAAATGAATCACTGGGGTTGGATTGTGTACAAATTATTTAGAACAGGTTTGTGTCAAGTATTTTAAGCCATTTATCTTGCTGCTTGAGGTCCTGTTGTTCATTCCTCAACAAATCATGGGACCTTTTTTATGACAAGTGACAAAGCCAGTTGTATCAACTGACCTAGTAAGTTAGTCCCCCCCCCATATTGACAGAGTCACTGGTAGGACCTATCACAAATTCTTCCATCTATCACAAATTCTTCCATGATTTTTCGGAAATCAACCGGATCCCGTAGTCTTTTGGGATGGACATATTCTAATGTTTTGCTCTTCCTATAGAAGTAAAATATAGGCACTAATTTAAAGTAAAATAGATGGCAGTCCTTTCATGAGAGTGGAGAAATCAGAAACATACCAATCCATGGAATATCTTCTTGGTCAAAACAAATATTAAAAAGAAGCATCACATCTGCCTTAAGTGTAACTAATGAGAATAGACCCCTGGCCTTTGTGGAGTTAGATTTTCTGTACTGCTTGAACCAGCTCCAATGTGGATATTGAAATTATTTAGCAGCTTGAGTCAGGGATCTGTAACACCAACTAAAAGACCACCTGTCCAGTCAGTATTCACTGATATTCACTAGTAATGTACAGTATTTGGAAAGGTACTGCTTTTTGTATTCTACTTTTTCTTGATAATAAAGTCGATGCAAATTAAGATCTTTAATCTAGAAAGACAATATACTGTTACCTATATTTTATCAACTAGAAGGTATACGTAGTACATTGACATACAGTTAGGATGCACCTGAACAATGATTTCCTGGAATTTTGTTTAAAATACTTACAGATCTTTTAGCATTGGGAGGTTCATAAAGGCTTGGCTATCTATGTATCTCAGATTTTTAGCATTTCGAATGTCTCTGTTGAGAGCATAAACACATTTACAGAGAAAGTATTAATGTTTATAATCTTGTTTATTCGTAAATTAAACATATACGCAAAAATATAATAATATATTCTGGAAAAACATAATCTTACAGAATTTATGGTTTATTAGTGAATCTTTTGTGCAAAATATATAATACATAGTGGCTTCAGTCTTTCAGTATTGGCTCTGGTGAAAAAACTCATACTATAGTTACTGAAATTAATTAAGGTCACACCACAAAAGCATTTGGCCAACATAAAGAATACTCATGAGTCTGAAAAATAGATGATCCTTGGAGTTTTAGCTAAATACTATATTCATTAAAAGTTTAAAAATAAAGCAATTTATTTAGTATTATCATATAGTTGGATACCCTTCAATTTGCTTGTAATGGTACTGGTAGACCTCAATTTACAACAGTTCATTTAGTGAATGTTCAAAGTTACAACAGCACTAAAAAAAGTGATTTATGACCATTTTTCACATTTACAACTGTTTCAGTATCCCCATAGTCACATGGTCAGAATTTGGATACTTGACAACTGATTCATATTTATGATGGTTGCAGTATCCTGGGATCATGTGATCACTTTTTGTGACCTTCTGATAAGCAAAGTCAATGGGGAAGCTAGATTCACTTAACAACCATGTTAACAGAATAACAGAGTTGGAAGGGACCTTGGAGGTCTTCTAGTCCAACCCCTTGCTCAACCATGGTTGTCCAATCTCTTCTTAAAATCTTCCAGTGTTGGAACATTCACAACTTTTGGAGACAAGTTGTTCCACTGATTAATTTTCTGTCAGGAAATTTCTCCTTAGTTCTAGGTTCTTCTCTCCTTGATTAGTTTCCTTCTATTGCTTCTTGTCCTGCCTTCAGATGCTTTGACTCCCTCTTCTTTGTGGCATCTCCTGAGATATTGGAACACTGCTATCATGTCACCCTTGGTCCTTCTCTTCATTAAACTAGACATACTGAATTCCAGCAACCCTTCTTTATATGTTTTAGCCTCCAGTCCCCTGATCATCTTTGTTGCTCTTCTCTGCACTTTTACTAGAGTCTCAACATCTTTTTTACAATGTGGTGACCAAAACTAGATGCAATATTCCAAGTGTGGCCTTACCAAGGCATTATAAAGTGGTATTGATATTTTACGTGATCCTGATTCTATCCTCTGTTAATGCAGTCTAGGACTGTGCTGACTTTTTTGGCAGCTGCAGCACACTGCTGGCTCATATTTAAGTGACTGTCCACTAGGACTCCGAGATCTCTCTCACAATTACTACTGTTGAGCAAGGTACCCCTATACTATACCTGTACATTTGGTTTTTCTTGCCTAAATGTAGAACCTTGCTTTTTTCACCACTGAATTTCATTTTAGATAGCACCCAATGTTCAAGTCTGTCAAGATCCTTCTGTATCTTAAGCCTATCTTCTGGAGTGTTGGCTATTCCTGCCAGCTTGGTTCCATCTGCAAATTTGATGAGTTCCCCATCTATCCTCTTGTTCAAATCATTAATGAAAATGTTGAAGAGCACTGGGCCTAAAACAGAGCCCTGGGGCATCCCACCACACACCTCCCTCCATGTAGATACAGTTCCATTGAGGACTACATGTTGAGTGTGGTTGGTCAGCAGTTACGAATCCATCTGGTGGTGATGTTGTCTAAACCACATTTTTCTATCTTATCAAGTAGTAGGTTGTGGTCTACTTTATCAAATGCCTTACTGAAGTCCAAGTAAATTATATCCACAGCATTCCTTGGGTCCACTAATTTTGTCCATTTGTCAAAGAATGCATTGAGATTTGTCTGGCATGATCTGTTTACTATCTTAACAACTGCAGAAATTCGTGCAGTTTACAACTGTGGCAAGAAAAATGTACTTAAGGGTGGCAACTGTTTCACTTAGCAACAGAAATTTTGAGCTCAGTTATGGTTGTAAGTTGAGGACTATGTGTATTACGCATGCAGAGACAGTCAGTGCTACGTAATGAAAAGGAATAAATATTTGACTACTAGAGAGCCAAGAACTAAAAATGGGAGATGGCTCTTCTTCTTTTAGATTCCTTGATTAATTTGATTGCCTATAATTTAGAGTACCATGTTATATTTAATAGTTCTTCCCTGAAGCTCAAGCATTTCAATCTAACTTTCTATAAGAATAAAGTTCTCAGACTTTTATATCTTGATATACTTGATAAAAATGGTAAACCTAAACTCTAAATAAAAGCTATATGACTCCATAAATTATTAGTAAAATCAAACTTTAAGTAAACTAGCATGATGATTGTAAATATTATTTTTTAAAAATTAGATTTCTAAAAATTGTGACATAAAGGATGCATTTCTAAAAAGCAGTAGAAGCACACTGTGATTCTAAAGAATCTTTCATCATAGAATTATACTAAGCTACCTAATATTATAGTCAAATCTTTTAACTTTTTAACAGTTAATTTTTTTATTTATTTAAAATTTTCATTATTTCCAGTATTAACTGACTAACAATTGGTTGGCTGATTGAGCATGTTCAAATTCTTGGGTCAGCAGCAACATATAGCAACTATAACTGCAAAAATATTAGGGATTGCTTACTGGAAAATAAAATTTTGTTCTTAAATAACATACATGGAAAATACTCTTAATGTATTTAAATCTTATGTGCAGTGATTAAAAGATGGGTCTAGAACAGGGGTGTCAACCTGCCAGCCCGCAGGCGAGATGCGTCATGCCGAAACCATGTCCACCCCATTGCCGACAATGGAAAAAAAGTTGCAATACGTCGCAACACGTCACGAGATGTTGCGAGTTTGACACCCCTGGTCTAGAAAGACAATAGTACAAAAAATGATAATTAATTAATATGTATATTGGATGTGGTCAGTTTTAGACAAACAGATCTCACTGAACTCAGAGCAACTTTCTTTTATGGAAATATGTGTAAGGTTATCAATTACAGCTTTAAGGACACAGCTCCCAAGATCAACTGTAGCACTTTTAAAGTTCATCTTCAGAACTGATTTACAGTAGCCAATTCACACAACTAATCTGATCTATGATATACACATATATTTATATACGTTATATTTTAGATTAGGTTCCAGCAGCAGCTTTCCAAATCCATGAAATGGTCTCATGCCCAGAGACAGCTATGGAGTGAAACAGAAGGGCATGAGAAAATTATAGAACACACTATTTGAGGAGAGGAGAGGAGAGGAGAGGAGAGAGAGGAGAGATTACTGTTCATGATTTGAAAGAATTTATTTTAATCTACTTACATGTGAGTGACTTTGTTTAAGTTGTTGAAAGAATAAGCTTCCAAAACCTGCAGCACTATATCTATGCTGATATAGCTATACAGAAGAAAGAGAAATAAAGTTCAGACATCAAGACAGATGACATGCCAAGAGAAGAATTCATTATATGAACAAAGTGACTAAGCCATCATTGGAAACACAAGCCAAAGACCTCCCCTTCTCCACAAAAAGAACATTCCCTTTAGATCTATGCACTGGAACCTTAAGGTAAAAGAGCTGATTTAGATCGCATCTAAATATTGTTCTAAAAACAATGCTTTTTTTCCTTTTAATGTGAAAGATCTTTTTCATTCTTACTGGAAGAGTAGACGTGTACAGTACATGGCTGTGAAGGCAAAATCAATGCACTCGGCATTAAAGAATCAGCCATATGAGGTAATTTAAGAAAGGGAACAGTGTTCCTCTTCTTCTCTTGAAGGACACCTCAAGGCTATAGGGTTAGAGCAAAAGGACCTCCTATAAGAAACAAGTTTTTAAAAAATCAGTTTTCAGCCTAAATCCCAAAATGTAGAAATATGAGCCTGAATGAGCCTCAAGTCTTTCACAGAATGGACACCAGTGACAGTGGAGGCCTTTGGGTTATTGACAAATGGATTCAGTAGGGAAGACCAGAAGACAGGTGAACTCTGGATCTTTTCTTAAAGGTTGGGATATAAATACAGGAGGAATTAGGTGTTAAAGTAGTTTTTAGGATTTTAAAGCCAATAAGCAGCATCCTGAAGTATATTTACAGAAGTAACCAATGCAGTTACCATATAACTTCTATTTTTAAGAGTTCAAGGGCAGCTCAGTGTGGAAAGCATCACAACAATCTACAAATGCTGACAGTGTATTTAATTTTTAGCTGGTATTTTTCAAAAATGAGATACTCAGTTTTCTGGTAACTGTGTGGCAATGACATCCCAAATGGTCATCCAGTATTTCATGGTTAAGTGGGCTAGGGCTTGCATCTGAGACAATGCTATACGAAACACAGAAATAAATAAAAAGACTATATAAAAGAAATGAAAATAAAGCAGAACTAGGTCTAGAAGCTTTACGGTCACCCATGCTAGCATGTGTAGCTAACAAAATTTGATTAGCTGAGCTAAAAACAAATCTGATTGACTTGGAAACATGAAGTTCTCAAGTTTGCTACTTCTGGGCCAGTGATCCAAGTCACCAGACTAGACATTTCAAACCTCACCTCTTTTTAAAACATGCAACAAGTTACTTTGAGTTTACTTTCCCCCTTCCACTCCTTGGACAACCCTGTAGTCAGCATATTTCCAAGGCAGGGGGAGCAGACGGCATTGAGGGATTGTTTGTCACTGTGGTTCATGTGCCTGTATACTGTTTCCTAATGATATAAGCAAAGCTGAAATAAATTTGTAACTCTCTTATTGAATATCCCAGAAAGGAGGGAAACTATTCTACTTGAAGGGTTCAAAGCAGCCTCAGCTACAATAAATTCAGTAAAAGTTGAAAGAGATTTTCCTTTATATTCTTCCAGAGCTACAGCCCAATCTCATTTATATTTGAACAGGGACAGGGTCTGGTTGTGTTTATACTGCGCTTATCTAGTTCTTACAGCAAAGCTGCAAGAGTGCAGGATGCTACAAGGGTTTGTTTATCAGCCAACTTGTTGTAGAGACTGATGCCGATTAAAGCTGCAAGGAAGTGATTGGCTCAAAATCACCCAGTTGTTTTGGTGCCTAAGGGAGGACTAGTACCTGGGTCTCTCTGCTGTTTATCCAGCACTTTAACCACTACATCATACTATCTGCCTATTTCTCTCTCTATTTAAATATTTAAACGTTTCCACCCTGCTCTACAAAGGTAATCTTCAAGGAAGAGGCAATCAATAACACTAATAAACATGAAACTGTAACACGGCAATACCTCATAATTATCACAGCTATCACCTATATAGTTATGTATTCATAAATCAAAATATTAAAACACTGTAACCAATAAAACCTGGGTATTTAGATACATTCCCCAAACCTTTCTACTGAAACTAACTAACATGTCTAGAAAGAGTACAGAGAAGAGCAACAAAGATGATTAGGGGACTGGAGGCTAAAGCATATAAGGAACAGCTGCTGGAATTGGGTATGTCTAGTTTAATGAAGAGAAGGACGAGAGGGACATGATAGTAGTGTTCCAATATCTCAGGGGCTGCCACAAAGAAGAGAGAGTCAAGTTATTCTTCAAGGCGTCTGAAGGCAGGACAAGAAGCAATGGATGGAAACTAATCAAGAAGAGAAGCAACCTAGAACTAAGGAGAAACTTCCTGACAGTGAGAACAATTAACCAGTGCAACAACCTGCCTCCAGAAGCGGTGAATGCTCCAACACTGGAAGTTTTTAAGAAGAGACTGGACAGCCATTTGTCCAAATGGTATAGGGTTTCCTGCCTGAGCAGGGGGTTGGACTAGATGACCTCCAAGGTCCCTTCCAACTTTACTACTATTACTACTACTACTACTATTATTTACACTTAACCTTCAGACTTGCAAGATTGATGTCAGCACTCCCCAGTAAACTGGAGAGGAAAGATGACTACATAAACTAAATTTATTTTATTGTAAGACTATATTAAGAGTATCTTGCAAGTCTGGAGGTATAAACTTCCACCACCACTTTTAACTATTTGATCAAATAGGGCTGGGCCTTCTTAAGTTTCTTTTTCTGCTCATAAAGTGACTGTGGGCTGTTTCCTCTGTTCCTTGTTTGATTGTTTCCTAGGTACCATCTCTTCTCCCCAGTGTCCTCACACATTCCACTGTTTTGGGGGGGAGGGGCAGGGGGAGAAAGGGCACATTTTTGAAGTGAGTTTACTATTGCCTGGTTCCTAGGGTTAAGAGGGAGTGACTGGCTCAAAGTGACTCAGCTAAGGTGGAAATCCTAGAACTCAGAATTTCCCCGGTTCTAGCCTGGTGCCTTGACTAGTGCAGCAAACTGGCTGTCAATCCTTTCTGTTTAGCCTGCAGCATTATGCAACATTAAACAAGCAAGAGAGTAAATATTGCTTATTTTAAGAATAACTTACATCCTGGAGATGTTGGGTAATCTTGAGAATGCTTCACTAGGAATTCTTTTCAGATATGTATCCATAAACCTCCTGTAGGACAAAACTTAAAAAAATTAATATATTTTCAAGATTATTATGCCGTTCAAATTCTTTACACTAATGGTTTCTAAATCAGAATGGAAATAATAGCATTGGAAAACATGGATTACATGACAGATGGATAGTTCATTAAGTTTGCTTCCTGACAAGTCTGAATTATTTTCATCAAACTTTATATGTGCATTGAATACTCAAGCAGAAATAGATTTTTTCCTGGAAGGTCACAAAATGATTAATAAGCAGCATTATAAGCAACATAGCAACATTAACATCTTGCTATTGTTGGTCTGTCAATGAAATGCTCAGTCACTAATCTTGAAGAAAGAGGAGATACTGATAAATTTCTACCTAGACATCAATTGACATAACTGAAGAAAAAAGATCATAAAGTAATACAAATTTTGTATTATAATTTTTAAGGTAAGAGCATACTCCTTTTTTTCAATATATAATATATATCCATAAAAGTGATTTTGCAGCATCTAAATATCAAAATAGGCAGAATTTTATGCCAAATGTAAGACTTTCTTTAAAAAAATTTCACTTCAGATATTGATGAAACATTATATGCAGATTCCTACATCTAACTAAGATTTTTAGCTGATATAGCATATTATTGAATGTGTTGTTTCAATATTTTGTTTTTTTTCCTTTTAAAAATAAGCACTGATCGCACTGTACAAGAGATTTTTCAAGTTTTATTAGTGATCGTGATAGATCCCTTCAAATTAAGCATAAGTTGAGAATGACTATATCACACAGGAATTTTGAAAACATGAATTAATGTTTAATAACTAATAACTACCGATATAATGTTTCAGAGGAGGAGAGGTCCCGGGGCTTATGGAGCGAAGGAACTGGATGAGGCTGTCGACAGGCCCAGAGGATGGGAGAGAGGCTTTTGGAGGAGTTGGAGGTGGTGGCAGCATGCTTCAGGGGTGAAAAGGAGCGAAGCCCCTTTAAAGAAAAGGTGGAAGAGACAAGTTATAAAAAATGAAAGGAGGCGAGGTTGTGCTGGAATACAAGCTAATTTGAGAGCTAATCCACATGGAGCTCCATTTCCATCTCTCCTGTTTGCCATCATTCACTCCCTGGAGACTAAAATGGACGTTCTGAAATTTGAGCTGGCCACGAACAAGGAGTGTATATTGGAGGTGGTGACTCTTTGAGAGCTGTATGCAATGAAATTTCATTTTGATGTGTGCCGATTGGTGTACATTCAAAGTGACAATAAAGTTATTATTGTTGTTGTTATTATTATTACTATTATTATTACATGCTGCATGAGTTCAGAGAGCTAAAAGTGTTTTGCTGCTCATTTTCATTTGAACTCAGTGTACGATGCATCTTGTTGCAGTATCCAACAATAGTCAGCTAGCACTGATTGATTCCAATTGCCCTGATATATTTTTCCAATGTGGAAATGTCCTTTCACCATATTCATCACTGACTGCACCTAAACTTTTGCAAAAAAAAAGTCCAACTATGAATGCAGAAAATGAATCTTCAGTGACATGTTGTACTTCATGGTCTCATATGCTACAGGAAGTTTATCAACCAGTTGAGTGTACTTTGCTGCTCTGCAGTTGCCAAGAAAATTCTCAACAACTTCCTTGGATGTTTTTCAGGCCATTTTCTCTGGTGCCACTACCAGTTCTTCAACTGGTTGTCATTGATGCTGTGGACCATCAAAAATACTTTCCTTACTCTTGCCATCAATTATTTTTGGAAATATCTGTCTCAAATAATGAAAATCTTCACTTTCCTTGTTCATCGGTTCTATAATTTTTTTTCATCAGTCTGAGTTTTATGTGAAGTAGAGGCAAAAATATCGTTCTTGGTCATCAAGTGATTCAATATGCCCTGAGTGTATGACTGGACTCTACAAAGCTTACATATAAGAAGCACTTGCAAAAACAGATTTCTATAAAACAATACATGATAGGTTAAATTACAGGTTATTTTCTTGATTAGCAGTCAAAACTTTATAAGATAAACCCAAAAGTGTTCAGGAAGCAAATTTTTTGTTGCCTAGTGTTATTATGCATTACAGTATAAACTTCCAGAAAGAGTGAGTTTTGGTGGTATGCTATTTGTTCTATGGGCAATTCTCCCTTGAGTTTTCCTTCAGATGAGGATTGATATAAAAACTCTTAAATTTAAATATTTTCCCATCAGTATTTTATCAATCTAAATCATACCATAGTCATCCTACTGCTGTTTTGTCTTTCTTAAGTAAGGTAATGATTGCAAAAACAAAACAATATCTGTACTAGAGCTGTTGCTGTAATCATATCTGAAGCTCATCCCAGCTCCTATTTTTTGAATACTGAAAGTAATGTAATCAAATCAATACCACCCATATATCAAACAGAGAGTGCAGTTCACAAAAAGCTGATGGAGAGGGGGATGATAGAGAGAAATCTGAAAAATCAATAATAAGAGGGAATCAGATATGTTAGAAGAGAATTATCTGCATTTTTTTGCAGTTTTGATTTTTAACTACTGTAAACACAATTGTATACATTCTCCCTCCCTCCCTCCCTCCCTCTCTCTCTCTCTCTCTCTCTCTCTCTCTCTCTCTCTCCTTCTATTCAATCATGTCTCATTCTCAGAGACGGCCTGGACAAATCTCTTCAACTATCTTTTCTTCAAGGTTTTTCATTAGTGGATTTTCATTGCAAGAAAGTGAGTGGCCAAGGACACCCAGCTTACTTTATGTTTATTGCGGGACCAAAATTCACCATCTCCCTAACAAACACACCAATGTGAATTCTCAAAATCACTCAAATAACGGCTCAAGCCTGTATCTATTATAAATTGTTTTTTTAAGTTGTTTACAATGCTTCATATTACAGCTGTCATGGTATTTCTCCTGTTGTATCAGTCTCTTATGGATATTCCAGGTCTCTGGAATGAATTCAGAAAAAGACATTCAATCCTCTAGGATTAGCAGAGAATAAAGAGTGATTTTTTCAGGCAAAATCTTATGAATTTTACTCTTATAAAATAAGGAGTAAAAGCTTTTTACTCTCTTTCACAAATTCTTGCCAGAGAATCTTAGTTTAAAAAAAATACATGTGGTCTAAAAATCAATTGTTTTAAAGAAGTGCATTCCATTTATTCTTAAAAATTTCACAATTATTAATATTGTAATGGATTTTATATTAGCTGTTTACAAACAGGATTGTCTTATTAGGTTATTTAAGTCAAATATTCCAGATCTTCCCTATGCCAAAACTGGATATAGATAATAGAAAATTATTAGTATTCTAATAAATTAAAATGATAATAGAATAGAATAGAATAGAATAGAATAGGAATAGAATAGAATAGAGCTGGAAGGGACCTTGGAGGCCTTCTAGTCTAGCCCCCCACTCAAGCAGGATATAACCTCTAACCTATAATCAATAATAGCATATAAATAATGGAGCCATCTCTGCTTATAGTTTATAACCCAATTTAATCCAAATAAATCTATAGCCTTGCCTCAAAGATTCTGAGATATTGTACATATTCCTCTCAATAGACAAAGGAAAAAGAAGAAAAAACATTCTTTGTTGCAGCTACAGAAATTTCTAGTTCCAGAAGTTGGAGATCTAGAGCAGCCTGCCCTACTTATTGCAGGTATTGACTAGTTAGGCATGCAACATTTTTTCCAGGGAAAATTTGACTAAAAATATTTGGTAGTTATTTATTTCTATTCCTAATTCATTTATGAACAGAAATGCTCATTCATGAAGAATCTATAAAATATCCCACCACTTGAAACATCTCTGTCTCCCATAAACAACATTATCAAATCATCATGCAACAGGATTACATACAGAGTTTCAAAAATGAATAGTGGCTAAGTATTGCTTAACAAAGTGGTTTATCTATATGTCATTTCCCCCTCATACCCACATATTGCAGTTCTTTAATCTTCACTAGGAATAAGTAGCACTGAACCCATTAAGGATTGCATTTGAGTGGAAACGCAAGGCTGAACATTTCCTGCACATCTCTAATTTCCAACAAATTCTGAACAAATTTCTCTACACAACATACAGAGAATTTGTTGAAAGATAGTATTATTCCTCAAATCCCTGTTACCGTAAATATATTTGCACTTATATTTTGCAGTTCAGTTCACCAAAACCTCTTGACATAAGTATTGCTATCTTGATCTCTTTTTACCAAGCACTACACTAACCAAATAAATATTATACTAACCAAATCAATTTTACCAGAAAAAGATTGTTATCACCTTTTTGTCCTCTACATCTATTTCAACTCTTTTCTTGTGAAATTTCTCCTTAGCCTGACACAATAGATTCTTGTCACGATACTATACTACACAACTGTTTGGTTATTAACAGATTTCTCATTGATTCTAGATAGCTGTTGCTTTTCAAAACTGAGTAATACAGATAACAGAGTGGCATCCTTAAAATGCACTGGGAGTCTGCAAAATAACTTTATTAATGAAGTTGTGAAGATAATGCAATGCAAATAGTCCAAGGGGTCATGCTCCTCTTGTAAATTACATCCCACTGATGGACTTGGGATATCGCACCCTCTCTCATATGTACCAATACACCTTTAATGTACACCCATACCCAGTATATACCAACATTCACACACATCTTCATATCACCCTTTCTTCAATCCCATCTTTCTTCCTGTCTCTGGTACTTTTTATTAAAGACTATGGGATATTTTTCAAGCTAAGGAGAACACAGTTTCTGTGGGAATAGCTGCAGGTGAAATAACTCCTTCTTGCCTAGCTGATATTGCTATGAAAATCACAGTGATTTCAGATAGAAAAACAGGAGAACCAACTTCTAAAGAAGCTTTCTTGGGAGAAGCAGGAGGAAGGATACATAACTGGAGACATTTTTTTAAGTAGAAGTACCAGTGGACCTAAGTACCCAATTCAAGAAGTAGGTGGAGAATAGGAATCATTATGCTTTGAAGAATAGCTAAAATTTAGTTTAACAGATTTGTGC